GACGCTGGGACTCCACAGTTTATTAGAAAAAAAGCAAATGGACGAGTTATGGGAACAAATGGAATCTGTCACATATTTAGAGTTGTAAACAGCCGCCCGGAGAAAGCCCTGAAGGCAGGAGGAGCTCTGGCTGCGGCAGTCAGGCAGCTGAGGAAAGCCCCAGTCACCCGAGGGAGACCCTCCATCCCCTCAGTGCCCCTTGCTGTGTCACTGCTCAGCCCCACCACCCTGGAGGCTAGGCCAGAGCCCTCAGACACAACACAACACAGCTCCGAGGACTGCCATGTTCCAGGCACAGCTCACAGCAGGCTCAAGGTGTTGTCCAACCTATTACAAACTGGGTTTCCAGAAACCTCTCCCAGCAGGGAAGCTCCACCCTCAGACAAGGAAGATATCGACATCTGCCAGAGTTCGGTGCCAGGTGAACTGGCACCAGCCCTGGCACGCAGAGCTCCCACTAAAGAGAGAGAGCAGCTTGTCCTGTCCTTCATTCCTTGTCCTGGAATGAGCTCTTTCCCCGGGAGGGAACTTTCCCCCTTATTCCATAGCAGCCAAATTCTTTAAAAGCCTTTGGTGAAAAACCTTATAGGTAAATACGTTGATCACATCACCTTGTAGTGACTAGAGCACCTCTTCTCCCAGCAGCAAGGAGCACACATTCTCAGACCTGCCTGGCACAGGAGAAGACACAGGAACAGGCACAGAGCCCAGTTTTCACTTCAGTAAATCACCTTGAGCTACTTGGGATTTAAGATGCTGCAGCAAACAGAGCAACAATACTAACTGCTTACTGACTCTAGCTGACAAAAACCAGCTACTCTTGCAGGGAGCTGAACCACAGTTACATACACAGACCAGCTCCCAGGACCCCTCCACACATAAGCAGAACAGAAAGCCCCACAGCACGCAACATGCAGCCAGCCAAGGGGCTACAATGAAATGGATGGAAAACACCCCGTGCCCAGTCAGGAAGACGTACTTCCCTGGGGCTGCCCTTCTCACGCATAGATCCAGTGCTCGGCTGTGTCCTCCCAGCAAGTCAGTTCCTCTGGGCGGAACCAGAGGGAGATCTCCTGCCAGGCACTCTCAACCGAGTCACTGCCGTGGATCACATTCCTGTGGGGAAAAGGAAAGGGATCAGCCAGCACTAAGCAGAGAAAGGTGTGAGAGGGAAGCTGCAGCTTGGAAAATTTCACCTTGACCTATTTAATTGAACTGAGCCAGTTGCATCCTACAGTATTCTTTCCCACTGCACAGTCCTCCTCCTTCCAGCTCAGTGGCTGTTCATGGTTACGCTGAACATGGCTTAGGTGATGGATGTGCAGGAGCTGCCAGTTCCCAGCACTCGTTCTTCCTACGAGGAGGAACCATTTCTTTGCTACAGGAGGAGCTCCAAGTGGCTGCTGATCTGGGGTTTTCTTTGGTTTTGTGTCAGTAATTCAAGTTTTGCCTCCAAATTTCCCCCCTTCCTTCTCTCAAAGTAGGTGCATTGAAGCAGGTTTTGTATCAGCAAGCACAGAACAGAAACCTAAGCCAGGAGGGTTTAATAAAAGGAGTGTCTACCACAAGCCAGGCTGCAGCCACCCAAGGTCATCACCTGTGGATCTTCACCAGTGACGAACCCTAGCACACACAGAGCTCCTGCTTGGCTTTTGTTACAGACTCAGGTGCCCAGTGAAGCCAGAGCAGCTCTCCAGGTGCCCTGCTCCCCCAGGAAAGGTCTGAGAGGGCTCCTCCTTTCCTCTTCACAGCCTTACACTCCTGATTCCCTGGAGGAAAAAGACAAGTACACCCCACCTGCTTTCAACAGAGAAGGCCTCAGGAGGCAGGAAAGACAAAACTGGTAAAGCCAAGCCCAGGAGGCAGAGGTCAGCTTGTGCTGCCAGGGCTGCTCTGCAGGCTGTCAGAGGGAGACAGCTCTGATCTGGGCACAGAAGGGAGAAGCTCTGCTCTGCAGATGCAGACTCGCACAGCTCAGGCAGACCTTGCACAGGAATACCTGGGCAGGATGCCCTGAAATACTGAGGGAACAAAAAGCCAAATCTCTCACTTGCTGACTTCAACGCAGAAGTCTCCTCGGATGGTGCCAGGCCTGGATTGGGCTGGGTCTGTCTCCCCAATCATTGTGCGAACTGTCTTGACCACGTCCAGGCCCTGCCAGACCTATGTGACAGCAAAACAAGAATCTGCTTCCACAACTCCCCTAGCAGGTCATATCGTCTGTCCTCTAAATTCCCCATCTGATCCACCTGGGTGAGAGATTGGAAAGGGTCTCTCTGTAAATAGTCTTCAAAAGTGGATTTTGGAAAATAATCAGAATTGCCTGTAGATTTAATTTACCACGGAAAACGTCCCTGCAGTTCAGTGCAGCTTCACAAGGCCCTCTGAAGAGAGAGGCCACCTTGTTTCCACTATAACCCAAGCAAATGCTGCTTAAACATTGTATTTACTTTCTGTTCCTTGGTTCCAGAGAACCTGGCCAGCACTCACCATGGCCACCACGGGCCCAGAGCTCATGTACTTCACCAGCCGGCTGTAGAAGGGACGGTCACGAAGGGCACTGTAATGCTCTTTCAGCAGCTCCTCCGAGGCCTGAGCACAAAGAGCACAAAGCTTAGTCTGCTCTGAGCAGGTGGGGACTTGCGCAAGGCCTGCACCCGAGAGATGTAGGAAAAGCTGGATAGTGCATGTTACAGTTAAGCTCCTGCACAGATGCCCACTTCCAGGAGCAAAAGAGCTTTACTTTGCTGAAGGCTGACATACAGAGCAGAGAAACTTCCAGGTCAGAGGAGCAACACCTGCCAGCTTATGACAGCCATGTACAAGAGCCGCAGAGCACAGACACAGCCAAGGGCAGGCATGCTCCCCACAACTGCAGTCACCCCTCCAGAAGCAGTTTAGGCACTTGGGTGCCAACGCCCCTCTGACCTGTGAGGATTTGGTGCCCGAATGACAACAGCAGGCTGCTCAAACCAGAAGGCGGGCAGAACCTCCCTCTCCCCCCCCCGGCAGTCCCGAGCAGAGCCGGGGCTGCACAGGCCTTGCTTCAGCCTGGGCTGCCTGGCCCCCTCCGCCCCGGGGGCCCCCCCCCCCCCAGCAGCAGCGGTACCGGCCTAGCCGGGTCGCTCACCTGCAGAAGCTTCAGCCCCACCAGCTGCAGGCCCTTCCTCTCGAACCGCCGGATGATCTCCCCGACCAGGTGCCGCTGGACTCCGTCCGGTTTGATGGCCACGAAGGTGCGCTCGTTGGCCCCGCTGCAGGCTGCGAGGAGAGGGCGGAGGCGTGAGGTGGGAAGGAGACCAACCCGACCCCCTCAGCCGCGGGGGGGCA